ATGGGAATCATGGAATCCGGATTCACTTACGCGAACGGCAGCAAAGACACCGACCAAATCAAACGTTATCTATGTCGCTATCAGTGTTTATTACCAAGTGGTTTGTTCATTGTTAGCTTGATGTCATTTCCTCCAAGAAAAAACACGAGAGCATGGCAGTGTGGCGGAAGCAGTAAACAGGTAAATAAGATAATTGAATGTAGGAAGGAGGGACAAAATTTTCGGGAGATGTTGAAGGTTTGTGAATGAGAGAAAGAAAAGGAGTGATTGTAGGGAAAAGGAAAGGGGGAATGGCGAATTAGAGAGAAATGGATATACTGTCAAGAAGCAGAAGAATCGAAATATGTAGAATAAAGTTACCATAATCATATCCATTGGTGAACAGTCTTCTTTTATAATTCTTTTGACAAGACAAGAGTTTGGATTAGTAGACATTTTGTCACACGACGTTTCGAGGACGTTGCTGGCACTTACTCGTGTGAAGCGCAGTGGAGGTCATATGAGTGCTTGGATTGTAACTCCAGCTCCTAGAAATTAAATTCTTATTTCCTAACAGTTTGCACTGGTCATGTAGATACTGAAGTGTCATGGTTTGGGTTTGATCATTACAGGAAATGTTTGGATGGCACATGAATGACTGCCACTTACAGACAAAGGTTCTCACTCCTTTTGGTGCTCCTGCAAAGAACAACAATGCTGCACTATGTTTGCTTAGGAGTTTTTAGGGGAAATTCTTAGGAAATGGAAGACTTTTTCTATGTTTTCCACCGAGGGAGGGCAGGCTCCTGCCTGGATCCACCTCTGATGGGCATATTTCCCTAGCCAAGGGCTCTGTTTCTAGGCTGCGGTTTCATGTTAACCTAAATTTAGAATAAATTATTATCTTAGTTAATGAGAGGGTGGATGGAGAACTGGGCCGGTACCACGAAAGTTCTCGGACAATCTGAGAATAAAATTTGAGACAGTTTCATAAGTGTCTGAGACAAATATGTGTCGTTTGTTTACATCTTTGATTTTCACTTACCAATTTTTTACATATTAATACATAAAAGTATATGCAAATATGTGTCTTCTTGGGCAAAATACTCTATTTTGCAGACACAAAACATAAATGAATAATTTTGATATAAAAAAAACACAAAAAAAAATAAATATCAATACAAATGTGAAGATGGCCTTCGCTGAAGCGCCATGGCTGTGATATCACTGTCTGCGGAATGTTATGATTTGTAAATAGATATATTATATATATATATATATATATATTTTATTATTATTTTTTTTATTTATTTATTTTTTTTTTTTTTTCTTTCTTTTTTGCCGTCCTATTCTTAAGTTTTCACTAAGCTCAATCAGGAATTTCACTGCTTGAATAATTATATAATAATTATCAACATGATATTTTTATCTTTATTAAAGATGGACAGAATATATAAGATTTTGTAGAAGTTAGGGGTGATATTTTTATGATTGACGAGAAAATATATTTTGCGGATTTCTCGTAAACAAATTTGTGTTCCGGTTGCATTAGCTGTCCATGAAATTTTGATGAAAATCCTGTGCTCTTAAATGTATTTGTATATATAGGTGTGTATGTGTGTGTGTGTGTGTGTGTGTGTGTGTGTGTGTGTGTGTGTGTGTGTGTGTGTGTGTGTGTGTGTGTGTGTGTGTGTGTGTGTGTAGGCCAAATTCATTTATTTTCAGATTAGCTCTATAACTTTGGCTTTTCATTAAAATAGAGAAATATTGAAATGATAAAAGATTTAATTTCAAAAGTAACTCACGATATAGTCATTTTGGCTCATTTTCAGTATAATGATATTGGCAAAAGATTAGATTTTGGAATGATAATATTTTAGAATAAGTCATTTGTATACTCTGGAATGTAATTTTTAAAAGAAGATAACATTTATAATTCAGTTGAATGGGCTCAGTAATCATCATCATCATTGTCATTATTATTATCATTATTGTCATTATTATTATCATCATCATTATTATTATCATCATTGTCATTATTATTATTATTATTATTATCATTATTGTCATTATTATTATCATTTTAAGAGAAAATAAAATTTATAATTCAGCTGAATGGGCTTAGTAATCATCATCATTATTATCATCATTGTCATTATTATTATCATTATTATCATCATTGTCATTATTATTATCATTATTATCATTATTATTATCATTATTGTCATCATCATTATTATTATATTATCATTATTGTCATTATTTATTATCATTATTTATTATTATCATTATTGTCATTATTATTATCATTATTGTCATTATTATTATCATCATCATATTATTATCATTATTGTCATTATTATCATTATCATTATTATTATCATCATTATCATTATTATTATCATTATCATTATTATTATCATCATTATCATTATTATCATCATCATTATCATATTATTATCATCATCATTATTATTGTCATTTATTGCCATTATTATTATTCATCATTATTATCATCATCATTTATCATTATTATCATTATCAATATTATTATTATTATTATCATTATTATCATTAATTATTATTATTATTGTCATTATTATCATTATTGTTATTTCATTATCATTATTATATCATTGTCATTATTATTATCATTATTGTCATTATTATTATTCTCATTATCATTATCATTATTTCATTTTATTATCATCATTATTATTATTATCATTATTGTCATTATTATTATCATTATTGTCATTATTATTATCATTATTGTCATTATTATTATCATTATTGTCATCATCATTATTATTATTATTATCATTGTCATTATTATATCATTTTCATTATGTCATTATTATTATCATTATTTATTATTATCATCATTATCATTATCATTATCATTATTATTATCATCATTATTATTATCATCATTGTCATTATTATCATCATTGTCATTATTATTATCATTATTGTCATTATTATTATCATTATTATTATCATCATCATTATTATTATCATTATTGTTATTTATTATTATTTATTTCATTATATTATATTATTATTATCACCATTATCATTATTATTATCATTATTATCATTATTGTCATTATTATTATCATTATTATTATTATCATTATTGTCATTATTATTATCATCATTGTCATTATTATCATCATTGTCATTATTATTATCATTATTGTCATTATTATTATCATTATTATTATATCATCATTATTATTATCATTATTGTCATTATTATTATCATCATTATTATTATCATCATCATTATCATTATTATTATCACCATTATTATTATCACCATTATCATTATCACCATTATCATTATTATTATCATTATTATCAGTATTGTCATTATTATCATTATTAATATCATTATTGTCATTATTATTATCATCATTATCATTATTATTATCATTATCATTATTATCATCATTATCATTATTATTGTCATCATTATCATTATTATTTATCATCATTATCATTATTATTATCATCATTATCATTATTATTATCATTATTGTCATTATTATTATCATTTTAAGAGAAAATATAATTTATAATTCAGCTCTTCACTCTCGGATCACTTTCAGTAAAGTGAACAAAGATTCGAAGGAGAAAGATTGATGATAATAAGATCAGATAATGATAATAATGATAATAAGTAATGATAATAACAATGATATAAATAATGATAATAATAATATGATAATAATGATAATAAATAATGATAATAATGATAATGATAATGGTAATAAATAATGATAATAATAAGATGATATAAATAATGATAATAAATAATGATACTAATGATATTGAATAATGATAGTAATAATGGTATAATAAGATGATAATAATAATGATAATAATAATGATAATGATAATAAATAATGATAAAGATAATAAATAATGATAAAGATAATAGATAATGATAATAATAATGATAATAATAATGATAATAAATAAAGATAATAATGATGATAAATAATGATAATGATGATAAATAATGATGATAATAATGATAATGAATAATGATAATAATAATGATAATAATAATGATAATAAATAATGATAATGATAATAATGATAATGAAAAATGATAATAATGATAATAAATAATGATAATGATAATAAATAATGATAATAAATAATGATAATAATGATAATAAATAATGATAATAATGATAATAGATAATGATGATAATGATAATAAATAATGATAATAATGATAATAGGCCGGGCCAAGGTCTATATAAGTACAGGTCTCGTCACTTCGGAGTTCTGCGCAGCTTTGGGTGATAAGGCCTATGACGTCACCTGGAAGGAGCTGAGAGCAAGGGGGGCGGGGGGAATTAGAGCATGGTAGGCAGGGACATAGATAATAGAAAATGGTAGTAAATGAGCAGATACTTGAGTAATTATAAATGTCGGCACGTTGAACGATTTGCATATTGGACATGTTTTGCAGACGATGATTATCAGCGATTGTTTGTAGGCCTATATCATATATTCTACGTGAATTTAGTTTTGTAATTCATATGTTGCAGCCTAGACATGGCATAATAAAGACGTAAAATAAATAAAAAAGACATGGCATATGTAAACTCCAAATGTTTTTGATGAATTTATTATAAAACGAATCATACAACAATAACAATAATAATGATAATAATAAAGATAATAATAATAATAATAATAATAATAATAATAATAATAATAATAATAATAATAATAATAATAATAATAATAATGGCAATACATAAACGTACACATAAATGTACATATATAAGCTGCAACCAACCACTGGGCATTGTGGCTTTGCACGCGCCAGTCAGTCAAGCGAGCGAAAACGGAGAGAGGGAGAGATCCTTACGGCTCTCCCTCACATCAAAGAATGACCACACGATTAGCGTGGAACCCCCAGGCTCTGCTCCAGATGACGTCATGCGCGAGACGGACGAATTTGAGTCCGTAAGTGACGAGACCTGTACTTATATAGACCTTGATCGCGCCTGGGCGGGGCGCGAACCGCCGACCCCTCGGATGAGAAGCCGACACGTTACCACTGTACTAGCCTGGAGGCTTTGCGTTTGGGAGAATACACAGCATATTTATATTACATAGGGGAATGTGTATGCATTTGGGAGAATACACAGCATATTTATATTACATAGGAGCTGATGAATCACCTGATGACCGTGACCTCGCGCTCGTTGTACGCATAATTGCTGCCGCGACCTTGGATAGTTTGAATCTACCCGATACGGTGTTCATGTTTTTCTCTGTCGCGATGCATGCAGCTTCCATGACCTTCCTTTTGTATTTGCTTAATCCTTCGTGGATTATTTCAGCTTCTTTCCAGTTCGGTAGATGTCCAGCTTCATCTACATGAACCACCATGGCGTTGGAAGTTCTATGGTGACGGACGTCGGCGCGATGTTCGTAGATCCTGGTGTTGAAGCCACGTCCAGTTTCACCATAGTATGCCTTATCGCAACCGCTGCAGGGTATGCGGTATACTGCACTGTTGGGGTTGCTTTTCTGTTTTTTTTTTTCTCGTATTAGGTCATGTATCTTTTCCCCGGATGTGCTGGCGATGTTCAATGTATTGCCGAAGTATTTGCTGATCGCCTGGGAGAGATTACATGGAGGTAATACGAGAAAATTGGAAGACATCACGGGGTTGGATCTTGAAAGTGTGTTCTCCGCCTTCTTTCTGAGGTTCAGCAGGAGACCTTTGGGGTATTTGTGTTTCATGAAATATGCTGTGTATTCTCCCAAATGCATGTATTTCTGACGAAGATATAATCGAAACCGGTTAAATACATCTCTTGTATTGTGAAGATATTCGTTCTCATTCATACCTTTCCACATGTATGTATATATATGTATATGTATGTATATGTATGTATATGTATATGCATGTATATGTATGTATATGTATATGTATATATATGTATATTTATGTATATGTATATGTATATGTATAAGTATGTATATATATATGTATGTATATATATATGTATGTATATGTATATGTATGTATATGTATATGTATGTATATGTATATGTATGTATATGTATATGTATGTATATGTATGTATATGTATGTTTATGTATGTATATATATGTATATGTATGTATATGTATATGTATGTATGTATGTATATGTATATGTATGTATATGTATATATGTATATGTATATGTATGTATATGTATGTATATGTATATGTATGTATATGTATATAATGTATATGTATGTATAAGTATATGTATGTATATGTATACATATACGTATATGTATATGTATATGTATATGTATGCATATGTATACGTATATGTATACGTATACGTATATGTATACGTATATGTATATATACGCATATGTATATATACGCATATGTATATATACGCATATATATACGCATATGTATATATACGCATATGTATATATACGCATATGTATATATAAGCATATGTATATATACGCATATGTATATATACGCATATGTATATAAACGCATATGTATATATATGCATATGTATATATATATACGTATATGTATATATACGTATATGTATATGTGTGTGTGTGTGTAAGTATACACACACAGATAAATGTATATGTGTGTGCATGTACTATGTATATGTGTATGTGTGTGTGTGTTTATGTGCTTGGATCTGCCCCTGACAAGCCTAGGTCTCTGCGAGGGGAATCTTTCTCCAGTCCTTCGCTGGACTTCCTCGACGGATATCCTAGGCCATCCTCTCCCCTTTCGTGTGCTACACACGTTCCTTAACGCACACTAATAATAATCCCCTCTTTTACCTGCAGCAAGGCCTCAGCAGCTCACTTCTAACAAGCAACACCAAGTGCCGCAAGGATACCACCAACGCTTCAACAGCAACAACCGCAACCTCTGCCCCAACCTCTCTGATGGCTGCCTCCAACCAAAACAACTGCCCCGTAAGTAGCCCCTGGTGCTGAGGTTCCAAGTTTTTGCATGTGGTTTGATGAAACACCTAATAGTAACGTGACCTTGGACCTAGCGGAGATGCCCTGGGATTTACTGTAGCACTTTCACTGCCTCTATCGTTTGTGTTTTTTGCCTTTAGCCTGTTCTTTCCGAATTCCTGTGGCATCAGGATACCTCTTTGTGCCTTCTGGCGAAATGGATCCCATCCTCGAGCTCGTACTCGGACATGGGCAGACCTGCACCTTCCGCAGGTATGTCTGTGTGGCATAAATTTTAGATTATACTATCTTTGTTTTCTGACAATAACACCACACGATACTATTTTTCCTTAGATCTTTAGCATAAAATTGATATTTTGGAAGAAAAAAAAAAGTGCAATTACACCGGGATTTTATTGTAGAAAAAACAAATTTCAAAGAACGTATATTGCCAGATGTACATATATATATATATATATATATATATATATATATATATATATATATATATATATATATATATATATATATATATATATTATAATACAAATATAAATATATATATATATATATATATAAATATATATATATATATATATATATATATATATATATATATATATATAATTAAATATATATATATATAAATATATATAAATATACATATAAATATATATAAATATACATACAAATGAACACACACACACACACACACACACACACACACACACACACACACACACACACACACACACACACACACACACACACACACACACACACACACACATACATATATATATATATGTATATATGTATATACATATATATATATTTGCATATATATCATTTTACAGACATATGCACACACACAAAAAGGCGTCAGGGCGAGTCATTTCTTTTAGTGTAAGTTCTATTGATTGTTTATAGGCTGTCTCATGACTGGCGGACTGTCTCATATTTCTCCTTATTTATTTCACATTTTCTTTCTTATTCATTTCTTACTTTATTTCTTATTTATTTCTCATTTTCTTTTTTATTAATTTCTCCTTATTTATTTCTTATTTATTTCTCGTTATTATCTCTCTTATTCGTCTTCTCGTCAAGATTTTCTCCTCGTACGGCCTTCCTCCGCCTTCCTTCTTCCTTCTGACGTTCTTCTTCCCGTTTGCACCTATTGTCATTATCGCTCATGTCACTTATCATGTCATGTCATATCACTTATCATGTCATGTCATATCACTTATTGTCATGTCATATTGCTTATGTCATGTCATATCACTTGTCATGTCAGGTCATATCACTTATTTCATGTCATATCACTTATATCATGTCATATTACTTATCATGTCATATATCACTTATGTCATGTCATATTCACTCATGTCATGTCATATCACTTATCATGTAATATATCACTTATCATATCATGTCATATCACTCATCATGTAATATATCACTTATCATATCATGTCATATCACTTATCATGTCATATCATGTCACTTATATCACATATATCACTTATCATGTCACTTACCTTATGGGAGCCACTTTGCACATGTCCTTTCGATTTTGCACTTTCATATTCGGTTTCCATGTCGTAATTCATGCTGACACCTGGGGAGGAGCTGACCTGACACCAGGGGAGGAGCTGACCTTGACACCTGACCTGACACCTTACCTGACACCTGGGAGGAGCTGACCTGACACCTGGGGAGGAGCTGACCTGACACCTGGGGAGGAGCTGACCTGCTGACCCTGACACCTGGGAGGAGCTGACCTGCTGACACCTGAGGAGCTGACCTGACACCTGGGGAGGAGCTGACCTGACCCTGACCTGGGGAGGAGCTGACCTGACACCTGGGGAGGAGCTGACCTGACACCTGGGGAGAGCTGACCTGACACCCTGACCTGACACCAGGGGAGGAGCTGACCCTGACACCTGGGGAGGAGCTGACCTGCTGACACCTGGGGAGGAGCTGACCTGACCTGACACCTGGGGAGGAGCTGACCTGACACCTGGGAGGAGCTGACCTGACACCTGGGGAGGAGCTGACCTGACACCTGACACCTGGGGAGGAGCTGACCTGACACCCTGATGACACCTGACACCTGGGGAGGAGACCTGACACCTGGGAGGAGCTGACCTGACACCAGAGGAGCTGACCTGACACCTGACACCTGGGGAGGAGCTGACCTGACACCTGACACCTGGGGAGGAGCTGACCTGCTGACACCCTTTTTGACCTGCTGCCTGACACCTGACACCTGGGGAGGAGCTGACCTGACACCTGGGGAGGAGCTGACCTGACACCTGGGAGGAGGACCTGACACCTGGGGAGGAGCTGACCTGAACCCTGACACCTGGGAAGGAGCTGACATGACACCTGGGGAGGAGCTGACCTGACACCTGGGGAGGAGCTGACCTGACACCTGACCTGACACCTGGGGAGGAGCTGACCTGAACCCTGACACCTGGAGCTGACTGGGAGGAGCTGACCTGACACCTGACACCAGGGGAGGAGCTGACCTGACACCTGGGGAGGAGCTGACCTGACACCTGACACCAGGGGAGGAGCTGACCTGAACCCTGACACCTGAGCTGACTGACACCTGGGGAGGACTGACTGACCTGGGGAGGAGCTGACCTGACACCTGGGGAGGAGCTGACCTGACCTGGGGAGGAGCTGACCTGACACCTGGGGAGGAGCTGACCTGACACCTGGGGAGGAGCTGACCTGACACCTGACACCTGGAGGAGCTGACCTGAGCTGACCTGGGGAGGAGCTGACCTGACACCTGGGAGGAGCTGACCTGACACCTGGGGAGGAGCTGACCTGACACCTGGAGGAGCTGACCTGACACCTGGGGAGGAGCTGACCTGCTGACCTGACACCAGGGGAGGAGCTGACCTGACACCAGGGAGGACTGACCTGACACCTGGGGAGGAGCTGACCTGACACCTGGGGAGGAGCTGACCTGACACCTGGGGAGGAGCTGACCTGACACCTGGGGAGGAGCTGACCTGACACCTGGGAGGAGC